CGCTCGCATACTAACAACTACTTTTGTTAATGTTTGTGGTGCCGCTAGCATGCTTACAACTACTTTAACGTTAATGTTTGAGGTGCCGCTAGCATACTTACAACTACTACTTACAACTACTTATGTGAATGTTTGTGGTGCCGCTAGCATACTACAAATACTTAAACGTTAATGGTTGTGGTGCCGCTAGCATACTAATAACTACTTAAACGATAGTGTTTGTGGAGCCGCTCGCATACTTACAACTACTTAAACGTTAATATTTGTGGTGCCGCTAGCATACACATAACTACCTAGCATTCTTACAGCTACTTAAACGTTAATGTTTGTGATGCCGCTAGCATACTAACAAATACTTATGTTAATGTGTGTTGTTCCGCTCGCATACTAACAACTACTTTTGTTAATGTTTGTGGTGCCGCTAGCATGCTTACAACTACTTTAACGTTAATGTTTTCGGTGCCGCTAGCATACTTACAACTACTTATACTTACAACTGCTTATGTTAATGTTTGTGATGCCGCTAGCATACCAACAAATACTTATATTAATGTGTGTGGTTCCGCTCGCATCCTAACAACTACTTATGTTAATGTTTTTGGTGCCTCTCGCATACTTACAGCTACTTAAACGTTAATGTTTGTGGTGCCGCAAGCATACTTACAACTACTTATGTGAATGTTTGTGGTGCCGCTAGCATACTTACAACTACTTATGTTAATGTTTGTGGTGCCGCTCGCATACTTACAACTACTTAAACGTTAATGTTTGTGGTGCCGCTAGCATACTTACAACTACTTATGTTAATGTTTGTGGTGCCGCTAGCATACTTACAACTACTTAAACGTTAATGTTTGTGGTGCCGCTAGCATAGTTACAACAACTTATGTTAATGTTTGTGGTGCCGCTAGCATACTTACAACTACTTATGTTAATGTTTGTGGTGCCGCTAGCATACTTACAACTACTTAAACGTTAATGTTTGTGGTGCCGCTAGCATAGTTACAACAACTTATGTTAATGTTTGTGGTGCCGCTAGCATACTTACAACTACTTATGTTAATGTTTGTGGTGCCGCTCGCATACTTACAGCTACTTAAACGTTAATGTTTGTGGTGCCGCTAGCATACTTAAAACTACTTATGTTAATGTTTGTGGTGCCGCTAGCATACTAACAACTACTTATGTTAATGTGTGTGGTTCCGCTCGCATACTAACAACTACTTATGTTAATGTTTGTGGTGCCGCTAGCATACTTACAACTACTTAAACGTTAATGTTTGTGGTGCCGCTAGCATAGTTACAACAACTTATGTTAATGTTTGTGGTGCCGCTAGCATACTTACAACTACTTAAACGTTAATGTTTGAGGTGCCGCTAGCATACTTTCAACTACTTAAACGTTAGTGTTTGCTTACAACTGCTTATGTTAATGTTTGTGTACCGCTAGCATACTAACAACTACGTAAACGTTAGTGTTTGTGGTGTCGCTAGAATACTTACAACTCCTTATGGTAATGTTTGTGGTGCCGCAAGCATAGTTACAACAACTTATGTTAATGTTTGTGGAGCCGCGAGCATACTTACAACTACTTATGTTATTGTTTGTGGTGCCGCTATCATACTTACAACTACTTATGTTAATGTTTGTGGTACCGCTAGCATACTAACAACTACTTAAACGTTAGTGTTTGTGGTGTCGCTAGCATACTTACAACTACTTAAACGTTAATGTTTGTGGTGCCGCTAGCATACTTACAACTACTTATGTTAATGTTTGTGTACCGCTAGCATACTAACAACTTCTTAAACGTTAATGTTTGTGGTGCCGCTAGCCTACTAAAACCACTTAAACGTTAATGTTTGTGGTACCGCTAGCATACTTACAACTACTTATGTTAATGTTTGTGTACCGCTAGCATACTAACAACTTCTTAAACGTTAATGTTTGTGGTGCCGCTAGCATACTAAAACCACTTAAACGTTAATGTTTGTGGTGCCGCTAGCATACTTACAACTACTTAAACGTTAATATTTGTGGTGCCGCTAGCATACACATAACTACTTAAACGTTAATGTTTGTGGTGCCGCTAGCATACTTACAACTACTTGAACGTTAATGTTTGTGGTGCCGCTAGCATATCAAAATTTACAAAACTCTATTTAAAAAGTGAAGCAATGAAGTAATATACAGTGAAGTAATTTGAGTTAAAGCTGCAATCCTAGTCTAAACTGATTATATCCTTAAAGCTCTTAAAAGCTTGTATTTCGTCTTCACTTCTGTGGTTTTCTAAAATATGTCATTGTAGAATGACTTCTAAAATATTGTTGTCAACTTAGATGTTTAAATAGTTAAATGGGATGAACTAAAACCTGGACCATTAGACTGATATATCCTCAAACCAGACTTTAAAAAAAATCCTTTGATAAATGTTTTACGTGTACAAATCAATCTGAATTGTACGAAATATTCACAATAATCGATACACATCGAACGATCTCAAGCGAATTCGAACAAATAGGACAACTGTTTGTATCCAGTACTTGAGATCTTCAATGTTTTCCGTTCTACACTTTTCTACAACTTCTTGGTCATTCTTACTTTTTTTCTAAACGTATATTTATGTGAAAAAACTAGGATACCAAGACCGACTTCAAACTAGCAGCTTTCACCCGTTACAGAGCGTTTCAAGTTTATTTCATAATTAATATGAATCCTTTGAAAGGTGGAAGCTGGAAGTTTGAAGTTAGTCGCTATCCTAGTGTTTTTAAAATACAGACTTAAAAGAAGAAAAAAAAAAGAAAAAAAAAATCATATCCTCTGGTATTTTCTTCATATGAAGAAGTAGTAGAAAGTGGTAGAAAGGTAAATACGGTCGTTATATTTTAGTTTTCCCATATTTCACGGGGACATCTATTCTTATCATTATATTACAAAGAATAATTTCTTCATATATGAATGAAATAGTACTCGCTTAAGTGAGTTTTCTTACCTGTTGTATATAAAATATCTAGTGTCAATACCTGAATATGACCTTTCCTTACCTGGCTTTTGACTATGGCAACTGTAGATTTCAGTAAGGCGTTTTTAAAAACATTTCTTGGAACAGATCTAGGAATATCATTAATAACTGAAAAAATATCAAAAGCAATAAAAGAACAAGTGAAAATATTATAACGGATCACCAATCTGAGGAGTGCACTAAGTGTCCTATCGGACTCAATATAAACAATAAAACTTCAGATGGGATGATAATGTTAATGAAGTGGTGTTGTTTAAAATTGGTGAAGTAAGTGTTTTGAAAAGTACAGAGGAAACTTGCGGAATAAATAGCAAGAAGAGGTTATGGAAAAAAGACAGCCAATCTAAGGGAGGAAGTTAAAAGAATGGCGTTCCAGCCAAACATGGACCAATAAAGGACTGGAGAGAATAATGAACTTACAGTAACAATATTCTTCCAAAACAATACTCGTATAAATGATCTAGAACGATAGAAGAAACATAGAAATTCAAGATACATCCGGACTACCATTAAATGATACTTAAACACAGTACTGTGAAGTGACTACCCAGTATAGCAAGCCTGATTCCGGTGATACCTCACATGTGGTGAAGGAGAAAAAAACACATTTTAGGATTGGTGTGTTTCGCTGTTTACGTCTTTACAATAGCTGCGGTAATAAAGACAGTTTCAGGACAGCAGATACTAAGATATTTTTGATATTATCAACAAAACTATGCCTATATACGGAAGCCTATTGGTGTCAAATGAAAGTATTGCGTATATACGCAATACTTTTTTTAGATATCAGTTGAACCAATAGGCTTCCATAGATATGTGAAATTGATTTTTTTTTTTTTTTTTTTTTTTTTTTACCGACCTTCCCTTTTTTTCCTGTCGTGTTACATACATCATTGTATTTTTGGCCTATGAACAAAAGGGTAGATTATAAGTGTTTTATATCGACCAGGTATTAGGACAGCAACAAGAAACAAATAGGAGAATGAAATAAAAGTTCAAATATGTTCACAGATACATCTGACTGTAGTAGCACCACTTTTTTTTATGGTGATAATATAAAGAGATACCACAATATTCAGAAAAAGTCCACTGTTTTTAGTGATAAGAATGTAAAAATGATACATCAACATCAGCCAAGGACAATGAGTAAAGGAAAAGATACCATAAGTAAATCTAAATATAGAAAGGAAACATATGCTATATGCTCGAGGTATATGTAGGGGGTCATCAAAATATACCGAAGAATTGGAATACATTCAATGTGTAACGGTTATACATACACTCCCTAATGTTACATATGTGAGCCATACAATTTTTATGTCATTAAGTAATATAACAAAAACATGAATGTGAGCAGATTCTCAATCCAAAATGGACTGTTTCCACAAACGTCATTATTTAACGCTATTAGTGCATGTTTTGAATTTTAATCACAATCTTTGACCCTTTTAATCACAGCGGTTTTAATTCATGTTTTAGATCAGTTTCAAACTTTTTTCAACCGTGGTACTATATTTCTTTATTGAGGTTATTTTAAACTGCTACACGCAAGCTCCTGTAGTCTGGTGCTATTTATAGGGCAGCTCGGGGAGAAATGTTGTGCGATACAGAACGGGTCCGATACTGAACCGGCGTGTTTTCCTCATTGTAAATATTCATCAGTAGATGTACACAGAAATAGCTGGCTGCTACAAAATAATCCGTAACAGTTCCCCTTGGACAACCTATTTCTAATCGAATGACATTACGACATTTCAAGGAAGGATACTAGAGATAATTGACTCATGCATCGCACATATAATAAGGCTCTGGTATGTTACAAGATAGCTCACACTCTTTGTGACAAATACTTATAGTTATTACACAAACATCTACGTCAATTTGTATGCTAGACAGCTTCACATATCATCAGCCAATTAATGAGGTCCTCTCAGAGTAGTTTGTTATTGTTTTTATGCTGTAGTGTATAAGCTAGTGGAATGTTTTAAGCTGAAAAGTATTTGCTGTGGTAAGTAAAAATTCATCGAAATCTTGTATTATATGTAGAAATACTTAAATAGTAACATTTATCACTCTCATTGGGAACTTCAATAGCAGCAATGTCGGGAGAGAAATGGTATTTACAACTTGCCATGTAGGTCATCATCGCTAGCATAATATTCGTACCAACCTTTCTCCCATACATAGACTTTAAGCATTGTGACTGTTTATGTTTTGTCAGAATGAATGTGCACAAGTACATCGAGTAAAAAATTACCGTGAACGTAAAATACAGTACCAAAGAATGTGAGCGAATATGCACATGGATGATTGATATCGTTGTTTATAATTTAGGGCGTTATATGGGGAAACAGTCGTGTTAGTTGTGCAGAATGGTAAATACCCATATTTATCAAACTTAACATATGTATATAGCTATAAGATATGTTTTTTTGGGGTTTTTTTTTACAAATATTTTATTCCCCAATTTTCCCCCCGTATATACACATACTGCTTCGAAGCAGATATATATACATATATAAATATTTTGATAGGGGATGCCAGGGTTGGGGAGCCCTGGAGTCAGCCCCTGAACAATATGGTGTCCTCACGCAGGAGGGTTCTCATTCAACATCCATCAGTCAAACACTAAATAAACAAATAGGAAGGGCAATGGGAAAATAAAATATTTTCAAATAGAGTACAGGACAAGAACACAAAACATACTTCTTTCACACCCAAACAAATTCCATATACAACATAATATTACAAACAATGATAAACATATAGCACGTCTAGTATACAAAAAAACATAACACACATACAAATACATCCACATATATACTCATACACACATACATATATACATGAGACAGACACACAGACACACAGACTCACAGACAGACACACACTCATACAGACAGTACATACATACATGTATACATTGAGACAGACTTACATACATTGAATCAGATGCATCATTATGCACGCATAATTTCAAGCAGTTAAGAAACAATAATAAATACACTGTGCAAACAGTGTCAGATGTACATATATATATACACACCCATGTGTATGAATATTTCTATGACACATGCATGTGGTCATTCACATTGATATGGACATATACTGACATCAATTTTCAAATAGCATTTTAAAACCGTTTTTCATACAGGTTTTTAAGTCCGCTAAAAGGGTAATTATAAAACAAAACAAACAAAAAACAGCACATACATCCACTCACACTATAACATACCGGATATATGCAGTTTTATTTTTATCAGATTACAAAATAAAGATGAAATTTAAATATTCATTTCAAGAGGAAGAGTATCAATTATATAAACAAAGATACAAAGATGTATGAATTGTGTAAACTTGTTTTTTTTTTAATCTGTTAAAAAATATCTTTCCATTCAAACCATATTTGATCAAATTTTTCGTTGCGTATATTTTTTGAGGCTGAATTGTTTTCTATGTTATATCGGAATGCTAGAAACTCAATCAAACCACCTAACCTGATTCTTTGTTTTTTTCTTGATACAGTGTTTATATAATATTTTGCATAAAGGATAATAAAGTTAATTGGCAACATTTTCTGGCTCTCCAAATAGTATTGTTTCTTATCTAAAATCAGTTAATTTATCTAAGTTGTGGCATATTTTGTTTTTCAAATCTTGCCAAAGTCTGAAAGAATGAGGACATTCCCAGAAAATATGTTCTATAGTTTCAATTTTTGTGTTACACATATTACAATACAGAACAGGTCCGATACTGAACCGGCGTGTTTTCCTCATTGAAAAAAATCATCAGTAGATGTACACAGAAATAGCTGGCTGCTACAAAATAATCCGTAACAGTTCCCCTTGGACAACCTATTTCTAATCGAATGACATTATGACATTTCAAGGAAGGATACTAGAGATAATTGACTCATGCATCGCACATATAATAAGACTCTGGTATGTTACAAGATAGCTCACACTCTTTCTGACAAATACTTATAGTTATTACACAAACATCTACGTCAATTTGTATGCTAGACAGCTTCACATATCATCAGCCAATTAACGAGGTCCTCTCAGAGTTGTTTGTTATTGTTTTTATGCTGTAGTGTATAAGCTAGTGGAATGTTTTAAGCTGAAAAGTATTTGCTGTGGTAAGTAAAAATTCATCGAAATCTTGTATTATATGTAGAAATACTAAAATAGTAACATTTATCACTCTCATTGGGAACTTCAATAGCAGCAATGTCGGGAGAGAAATGGTATTTATAACTTGCCATGTAGGTCATCACCGCTAGCATAATATTCGTACCAACCTTTCTCCCATGCATAGACTAAGCATTGTGGCTGTTTATGTTTTGTCAGAATGAATGTGTACAAGAACATCGAGTAAAAATTTAGCGTGAACGTAAAATACAGTACCAAAGAATGTGAGCGAATATGCGCATGGCTGATTGATATCGTTGTATATAATTTTTAGAGCGTAATTTGGGGAAACAGTCGTGTTAGTTGTGCAGAATGGTAAATACCCATTATTATCTAACTTATAATTGTATATAGTTATAAAATTAGATATTGATATCTTTCGATTCATTGTTAGCATAAAAACTATTTTGTTTGTGTCATCGCTACTGTAAAAGCATAGACAGTAATAAATAGCATGTTCATCATTTATATAGTCGTTACTCTCTTTATGTACAAAGTATGTAAGTAAAGAAAAAACAGAGATAAACACATATGCCCATGTACATTTATTGGTACACAGTTACTGATTATTTAAAACTGAAGCCCACTGACCTGGTTTTCAATTTAATATTACGAAATGTCTCATATCTCTATACTTTACACGAATTTTTGTATCTGCTTTATCATATATCTGGTCTTTTTCCGAAACACAGAATATAACTGAATCAGTTACAATTGTGATATTTCATCGCTTTGTTTAATTCCAGGATACATTCCTACAAAACCTAACTTTGAGCAATGAAATGATTTCACTTTTAGCAAATTTATCATAGTTCACTAGCAGCAGAACAATCATAAGCAATTGAATAGTCATAACTCACTATAACATAATACCCGTAGATCAAATTAATATACTACTCACAGACCGATTTGATTTATTTATAATATCCTTGGTACAAATGAAACACAAGACTCATAGCTCATTACCAACATACTGCTCTTAGCTCAGTAGTAATATACTAATTATAGCTCAATAGAAAACATATTGTTTCAGCCCACTAGAAAACGTATTGCTTCAGCTCACATGAAACAAGATGCGCATAGCTCACTCGTAACAAAATACTAATAGCTCGCTAGAAAATTGATAACTGTATATCACTAGAAACAATGTACATAGCTCACTAGAGACAATAAATATAGCTTACTTGTGACACTACTGATAAATCACTAATAACATTATATCAAAGCTGTCTCGAAACATAACAAACATAGATAATTGAATCGTGATGTTAAAACAAATTAATTACATAATGATACAGCTCACCAGAAACACAATATTTAAGATCACAAGCTATAAAACTCAAAGCCTATTTGTAACAAAACGTTTATAATTCACTTAAAATCTAATCTAGCATCCTTAGAGGATTAGAACCATTGCATTCATAACTCAATGGTAGCATATATAATATATATATCTCATCAGATCGCTTTTTTAAATTCAATAAGTAACATAAACTCATAATTCTGTTTGCCGCATTACACCTTAATTGTAACTGCATTTATGTTAGTGGGAATTTAGTTGTTTTTTTATGCAAAAACTAAATTAACCTACAAAATATTAATTTTTCTTTCCCGTTTCCTTAATTGTAATACGGCATATAATATGTTACAAGCTTATACTTTTGTAATGTCCTCCTTAACACAATGTTGTAATATCTTATAATCATTCGAAAACGTGAGCCCACGCGACCATTGTTTATTTTAAATGAAAATTGAGATAAGAGGGTGTTTTAATATCATTTAAATAAATAAATCTATGTATTATAGGTCACCGGCAATCATATCTCCGACCTATCCATGTAATGAATAGTAACATGCTTTCTATGTATCATGTAGCATATTTGTATAATATTGTGACCAACAAATACATCGTACAAATTCATCCATCGTAGTACACACATATATAAGAAAACATGGCAGGACACTACCGAGACGACGTCGGTAGGAACGTAGCGAGCCCTTGCTAGGAGTTGATTAATTTAGGAACGGGTCCAAGGCAGTGACTAGTGGGTCCGGGGCCGGAGCCCAAAGGAGGAAAAATAAATATACAAATTTTAGATTTCTCAGGATATTTTTAAAGAGGGTAAATCACTGGAAGTGATTGCCAGAATGAGACATTCTACAATAATATCATGTATACATATTTGCTGAAGAAACAGCCAGTGGTTTATTTTGTTGGACTCACCTCTGTACTAGCATACAGGCAGCTACGCGGCTGACGTGGGACATATCTGACGAGGACATTTATCGTCTGCGTATTACAAAACCTGCTAGCTATTATATAATTCCACAGTGTTACGCTCTGTATCTACAAAACAAAAACAACTGATTGTCAGTCTGAAACGTGTTTAAACCCCTCATTAGGGTCTAGTTACGCTTTAACGGTATTTTTACGGATTGCCACACTCGAACTGCATGCTCGTGATATAAGGAAATAAATAAAATCCTGTCTGAAACATTACGTTGTTATTCAGGGAATAAACCTTTGTAGCGGATTAAATTATTGCTCTCATTCATTCACAGTCCATCTAGCCTCATAGACTAACTGTTATATCTACATCATGCTCACAAATACAATCTATGTACTAGGTATAGCTACCAAATAGCTAAGCAACAAATAGCAAAACTATGTACCATTGCCTCTTGCTTAAGTATAAGTCAAGTATATTTGTTTCAAATCAATATAAATGCTTCATTTTGAATGTGTTTAAAAACATCACAATAAAGTTGGACCCTTTAAGGTATTCTCAAAGCAATGTACCAACCCTGTATAGGGATATTGCAAAAAAAGAAAGAAAAAAAAACCAAGGAGGAAATAAGGGATTTTATTATTATTTAAGCATTGAACTGTTTTTGTATGGTATTTATGATCTATTTGAATGACAAATAGATCATAAATACCATACAAAATCAGTTCAATACTTATATTTACGTTTTCTCTGCCGTTTATGTTCTTTTTCAACTTACAATTTATATCTTAAGTTTAAAATTCCCGCCTTATCGACAGTTCACACAAATTCGATCAATAGCTTGGAACAACGTGTTGTCGCGTGCTGACTGGCAAACAAAGTTGTATTTTGAAACTTTAACAAACACTTAAATTTTATTCCACAATTCAGTATTAATACAATTGCGTATGCTATGTCTATATGGTGATTTAAGTTTATCAATAGAAATCTGAGCTGAAGGTTAGATTTAAAATTGTTTCGATTTTTCCCTGGAACAAATTTCGCGCATGGATAAATACAGTGTACACTGTAATCCGAGTTATTTTTGAAAGTTGAATGATCAGGGACGCAAGTTCTAATTTGTGAAAAACCAGGCGTGATTTTTTTTGTTGATTGTATTGGAACCTGACTACAGTAGGTAGATTCTACAACAGCCTCGTTATTTGACATGACGTCAGAAACTGAGGAAACCGTGACTGATAGACGCGTGATACTGATAGCGTTTGAAGTGAGTGATCTTACGACAGAGCAAAGGGGTTCGTTACAAATGTCTGAAATATGCCTTGTGTATGTTTATTTGTTGCGTGACTCATATCAGTAGGTCTATAACATATGTGTATTTCAGACATTTGTAACGAACCCCTGTGGATCAGTGCAGTGTAACAGTCGATATTTCTGATAAATTGCACGAGTGTTAAAATTGTTTCCATTGCTGGCATTGGTTATGATTGCAGACGTTGGTCTTGCTTTTGTTGTAATAAAAGTGTTTTTTTTTTAATATTTTCTTTTCTTTTACACAGTTACAATTACATTGTCATGTCTCATGATGCCCAGCGATATTTCAGCAGCCGTCATGTTTGTTTACATTGGATAATATAGTTCCGGTCGATGTTGTATTAATACGCTAATAATTATGTATCGTGGTGCATGGTATTTAAAGTCCCATCAACGACACAGCTTTCAAATAGCCTATATAGTGACAATGCCATGCAAATGTAAATATATAGAAAAAGATAGTGCATTTTGTAGTAAAAAGGGTATATATTACGTGTAAGCTATGTTGTTTTTCTGTGTATTTCTTAGCTATAATATCTGACGAACTGCTGGACTGTGCAAGAGACATGCAAGAAGTGCCTCTTCAGGTCGTTGTTGCAGAGGATAATCCCTCAGGCGATACGGTAGTTCATTAATCCTATTCGTTAAGTTTAAATATACTGTTTCACACCGTTGTATTCATTCAATTATGCGATTATCACAGTGTGTTTCGGATAACGTTAATCAGTTCTATTTTGTCCTTGTGTGTTATTTATTTAAGTGAAATAAGTAATATTAAATGTGATATAGATTTTAAGTTAAAGTATCATTTATCGACATTTTACCAACTCCTGTATTGACAATTGGCAGTTGTAATATTTTAAAAGCCTGATTTTGCTCACATTTTAGCCGAAGTCCAACCCACTAGTCTTTCGAATATCTATATGGCGTTTCCTCTGCTGTACGCTGCCAATTGTCCTTTGCGCAGTTGTTTCAATAATATCGGTAAGTTTATGTAAAGTCGTCGTGGTCAAATATATTATAGGTAAGTTTTCATCAAAAGTTGATACAAATTCAATGGTCAAAAATAGATCTAATTCTTGTCAAAGTCGCCATCATTTATGACAAACCCGACAGGACAGTGAAACAGTCAACAGAACAAATGACTTCCGCCTATATTTTGAGTCTGGCTTCTGAAATCCAAACACAGTTTCTTATTTTAACGCACTCAACTGTTCGCGCATTAACGAATTTTAACAGATTAGCGCATTTATCAGTTGGCGCATCCACAAAATATGTTATAGCAAACAATAGACGGGAGCTTCATTTGGCGCAGTCATAATTAAGCGCAATATTTAAGGCGCGAAAAGCTCTAAGATAAGACTACCGATATCATGTGTACGTTTACATGATATGTACCATGTATTAGTGATTAATATAACATTTTCTTTAATATTCATCACTGTTTACCGTAATTTCTGTTATGTGATTAACGCCCCTAATAAGAACAATCTATATAAATCATAAGTGCATAGAAATAGGAAACACTTGGAAAGCTTTTTCACCTTTGGAATTCAAAATATTGTGTGTATATCGAAGCACAAGACATGAAGTAAGTTACTTGAAATAATATCCTGATTTAATAATTTAATAACTACATATGTCCTTGACTGTTAATATGATTTCCAGGGTCTTTTATATTTTTTTCTCTCACAATGAATGCTTATTTTTACAATTATCTCTCTTTAAATGTTATTAGTATACGTTGCATTGCAAATAATAAGGTGCATCAATGTTCCTTTTTTTCTGTGTCTAGGTTCATGTCTGCAAGAATCAGGGGTTTCCTTACGGGGCAGGAATTGCAGCAGTGTGCGCCATAGGAGTATATATCTTTAATCTCTGCCTAGTGGCCGCAATGGTTACCTATCTCATCAGCTTGCGATGTCCATTTTGTACAGACGCAGCATTGGCCAAATCCTCGAATGGGACAACGGCAATCAATGCCATCAACATATTCAATCTGTTTCTGTCAATTGTGTTGGCTGTGGTCGTGATTTGTATCGTTACTTTGGAACATAGGAGATATTATATTGGCGAACCTTGACTAACGTTGCCTTGCATTGATGTATATCTACGTGAAGTAAGATGTTTCACGTATAAGGCTGTCTCTATCTTATCATGATTAGTAGAAAGGCAGAAATATTGTAAATCAGCTGAATTTCATTTGATAACGAGATTCTGAATATATTGAAAGACTTCTTAACACAACATTAGGCAAATTAAAACAGTTTCATATCTGAATGTCATTCTAATTATACTAAACCTAACTAATATATTGGTTAATTGAAAGCTTGTCGCAAAGTTTATCCATACTTATGTATATAATATTGAAACTATATGTACATTTCGGCCACCTGTAATTTGTATATAAAGATCAAACAAAATATGTATCTGTTGCTTAATCCTGCTGTCAATAGTTATTAATGAACAATCTCTTTGTGTATTTGACAATTCTACAAATCCCATTGTCGTTTAAAGGGGCGTAACTTGTCTAATTCATATGTAGAATATATTTATAATTATATAAGAGACCATATAATTATATATATAACTACGTTAATCCAGGCTCTACAGCTGTACTTAGGCTCCCCCTGCTTAGAAAATAATCTGAGATGGGATTATTGTGCTTATAATTGACACCTATTTAAGTGATGAAACTTCATAGAAACATTATAGAAACATTATTGAAACGTTATCGTAGAAAAGTATCTGACAAAACCTCTACTAGAATTTTTATTTCAAATATTCTGAAGCATGCAGTTTAAATCTGTATCATATTGAAATATAACAAATGGGATCTCAGTTTGGTTATTTGCAACTGTTGTGAATTGTATGATTATAACCATAACTGGCCGGATATAACTAAACCAGAAGTGTGGAATGCTGACCATACATGTTTAGACAATAAAAGACCGGTTATTTTCCTACATGTAAAAGTCATACCACGTAACAATAAAATTGCTTGAGACAAAGTCATACACTGACTGTAGCTTAATGTAAAAATGAGGTTAAGATTATTAACGTGCGAGGCCTTTTTTCGGGTGCTACTTATCTCACAAGATGCAGGGTAGAAACCGTGAATTCACGAGGTGTCACGAGAGCAGAATCCAACGAATGGCGACTATGTGTTCGACGGGGTCAGAGGTAATGTTTACACAATATTATGTGATCGACAGGCCAAAGGTAATGTTTGTGATTTCATCTTAAATTGTAAAGCTGTATTACGTCACTTGGTTTGCTAAACGACTTTATAATTAATTTATGGAGTGGCGTCACCAAAAAAATATCATAAAAGCTTTGGGGAAAGGGTGATATCATGTAACTCATTGCATAATGTACGTCACGTACGAAAATAAAACTTTATTCCTTTTTGTTTGATATTTTGGTGTCATCAATATACATTTCATTATTATTTTGTTCCATGCCAAAGATGGTTATTCGATATTTATTAGGTCCATAGACCTGCAAATATAGATACACAATCACCATTCGCACATCCATTCACACTTTATATTAATCTACACGAAGTTATATAGAAAACTAAAGAAGAATCGCCCGTACAGCCAGTGACAGATTGACAACAGGCCAGGCGAATCGAACTGAGGTGGTGAGAAGTTAAACAGGTGCATAGGTTAGTTAAGAAGAACGTGTGATTCACAACACAGATGTCGCTACCTGTGCTGGTGCCCGTTGTGGGTCTGATACTCGATTCCTATGTTACATAATCAATTGATTTCAATACTACAACGTATTTGATGAATACAAAATTCATGAAGAGTAGGTAAATGGGGAAATAGAGAATGTCTGTCTGTCTGTCTGTCTGTCTGTCGAGTACCGATATAATTTACAAAATAATTTGCGGATTATAAAGTATCACAGTAACATTTGAAATTTGGATTGCTTTGAACATAAATCAATTCAGGAAGGTGAAATCTTGCAAATTATCTGAATATGGCAAAGATTATAGTTTTGTACTAAAAAAGGTATGATTTACTCGATAATGATGTCATTGTTTCATTATGAAATCCTGTAAGTTGAAAGAGACAAACACAGCAGTACGGAGCTCTTTAGTATTTAAAGTCATTATTTCATTACATGTTGCTACAGACCTCGGAATATCTTCAACAAGCATACGTGTTATAAGAATGATAAGTTTAAATGAATACGATTCTCTGAAATGTTATATTACGTATTTATTGTAAAAATGATATAATTCAAAGCATATAAACAGTCGTAAAACTGCATGAATATCGAAGAGATAGATTCTATATATCATTAAATTAATCCTATTAAATAATAGCTGTTTACATGAGAGCCATGACACACTAATTAATCCATTTCTGCATGGACTCGTGACACAGAGCTGTATTGTTTAGAACGGAGTGGAATGTTCATCAAGTACAGTGTCGTTGTGATGATTACTACGCGAAAACAGCATCAATTATTCTGAGTTACTCTATTCCTCCTTCCAGTCATTTCAAAACAGGTATGTATAGCTGAATTGAAGATTATGTTTTAAAATTATTATTCTAAAATATTTTCATCACCTTAAATTCTAATTCAGATGATTACATTTTGTGCTCCTTTTGTCATGTGTAACTGTACCACTTCATTATGTGTATGTGTGTACCTCGTCATCATGTGTATGTGTGTACATCGACATCATGTGTATGTGTGTACATCGACATCATGTGTATACATCGTCATCAAGTGCATGAGTGTAAATCGTCACCATGTGTATGTGTATAAATTGGCATCATGTGTATGTGTGTAAATTGTCATCATGTGTATGTGTTTAAATTGTCATCATGTGTATGTGTGTACATCTTCATCCTGTGTATGTAAATCGTTATCCTGTGTATGTGTGTATATCGCCGTCATGTGTATGAGTGTAAATCGTCATCAAGTATGTGTGTAAATTGCCATCATGTTTAGATGTGTACATCTTTATCATGTGTATTTGTGTTCATCGACATCATGTGTATACATCGTCATCACGTATGTGTGTAAATCGTAACCATGTGTATGTGTATAAATTGGCATCATGTGTATGTGTGTACATCGTCATCATGTTTTGTGTGTACATCGTCATCATGTGTATGTGTATGTGTATACTTCGTCATCATGTGTATGTGTGTACATCGACATCATGTGTATAAATCGTCATCAAGTGCATAAGTGTAAATCGTCACCATGTGTATGTGTATAAATTGGCATCATGTGTATGTGTGTAAATTGTCATCATGTGTATGTGTTTAAATTGTCATCATGTGTATGTGTGTACATCTTCATCCTGTGTATGTAAATCGTTATCCTGTGTATGTGTGTATATCGTCGTCATGTGTATGAGTGTAAATCGTCATCAAGTATGTGTGTAAATTGCCATCATGTTTAGGTGTGTACATCTTTATCATGTGTATGTGTGTTCATCGACATCATGTGTATACATCGTCATCAAGTATGTGTGTAAATCGTCACCATGTGTATGTGTATAAATTGGCATCATGTGTATGTGTGTACATCGTCATCATGTTTTTGTGTGTACATCGTCATCATGTGTATGTGTATGTGTATACTTCGTCATGCGTAAGTTGGAACTCTGGTCATGTATGTCTAACACTTAGTCTTCCATAAGTTTATACCATACAGGTGTTTCCTTACATGTATATTTCATCTTTCCATTGGTGTTCAAACCAACTGTCCTTCATCGGTCGTTCAATCTCTTCCACTGGTGTTCAGTCTTTTAGTGGTCGTACACGTTCTGTCTCTTCAACCAATGTCTGACCATCTATCCCTCGTGGTATCTTCTCACATGTACGTATATATGATTCTGGACAATGCACGGGGTGAGTCACAGAGGGAGATATTTTGTTTAGAGTGCATTGCCACAATCACTTTACGTATTGGAGCTTGAAGATGAATGTTGAATAATTTCAACAAGTACCGTCGGTATGACAGGGAATGATGTCAAGCTAATGTAGAGTAATTTTAATTTCAGCAATGTCTGAATACCACCAGTTTACTAATGAGGATTCCCGCCCCTGCTCTCCGTCTTTGCTGCAAGCAGGTACGTACGATCATGACGATAATAAAAAATGGTGACTGGATTCCGATAAACATGTTAGGAAATATACTGACTTCAGAGAGTATCTGTATGATATCGAAGTTACAAGAGTCGCAATTATTTACATTGCATTTCATATTATCAATGGTAGAAGTTTATTCGGGGGAGTTCACGATGTCTTTTTCCATTTCGTCTTTGAAAGTTCCTCTTTTCTATATCAATTAATTACTCACTTAAACAGATAGAAAATAATGCTGTTATATGTGTCTTTGACATGAAGATATCAACAAGAGTGTGAATAAGAATAGAAAACGGGTTAAAGAGCGTACCTATCATCTAAGTTGAACTAGTTCCGACCTCTGAGTACGGTTTTCTCAGCAGAGTAAATTTAAGTTATAAGGTAGTTTAGATAACCGGCCACGTTTACTTATGTTGTTCCTTGTGTGTAGGTGGTGTAGTAACAGTTAAGCCCCCTTTACAAAAGGGATGCGATATTTGTGCCACCTATGAGCGACCAAACAAAATTGCCAGGACGCTCAATGGTCGCCTTAGACCAGGCAATCCTGTTTTATCACATAATGTACTGTGTTATCCAGTGAATATACTCATGCCATAAATGATTGCGTATGTAATATGACCTATCAGCCCTTTGATTGATTGTAAGTTTTAATTGGGACGTCAAGCCAAGGACAAGTACATGACGTCATAGACTTACACACTGGAGTCAAAGTTGCAGCTTTTTTACATTTCAAAGTTGCAAGAAAATTATCGTTTCATACGAATAAATGCCATAAATTTTGACCATGTGATAAAAAGGATCTTACACTCGTTTTCAATTCATATGAAATTCATTAAACTCATTTTCATTTTAGCTCGCCAGAGGCTGACAGGCTCGTTATATTGAGAAAAAGAATCCTAGACTCGTTTCATAAATCTCATATGAAATGGAAACTCATGTAAGATCCTATATAGATGTAACTGCTCCAGCGATCGTTGTGCCTCCTTTGAAACACCAAAACTGCAATTGTCGGGCATTTCAATGTCGTGCTATGAACGACCTGCGCGTCCATTTAGCCACTTACCTACCACCACTGTGTTTCCCCAGTGCAACCTACGTCAACCAACGCGATTAAAAGCAACTTAGACCACCCCAAGCAATGTTTGGGTAAACATTGCGCCTCCTCTGTGCCTCCTCTATGCCATTGTTGGCGACCACGGAGGCACAAGGGAGGAAGAAGCAACACCTAGATTGACGGCAAAATTTGCAACAAAACGCATCTATTAGGTAGGTGACAATTTACCACCAATCGTGCATCCATAATGTAACCATGACAATGTTTGTGCCTGCCTTTTGCCTCATTTGAGTCACCTTTTAACAACCAACCTCTTTGGCGACCTTTGTGCGACTGTTTTGAACATGGTCAAAACATTTACGGCGACCATGGCGTCCATGGCAATGTCTGAACATCCTGTTTACCAGCTTTGAACCACCTAGGCAACCATGCGGTCTCCAATGGTGACCTGGACAGTTTTAAGGCCGCAAGAGTATAAGCTCCAAAGCTCAATATTCTGTGATAAGGTGGTATTCATTATAAAACTGCGACCATTGGAAAGGTAAAACATTTACAATCACGCCTGATAATAGTAGTTCGAATACGCTGCGTATTGTCAAGTTAAATATGTTCACGTCCTATCTTTTACTGAGTCGATATAATGTTTGAAGAAGTCAGAGTTTCCTCTGACACTGGCACAATGATGTAATAAACATTTATTTGTCAAAGTGTCTAAGACTGGTGTCAGGACCAGAGGAGACTGTGGCTTTATTTAAAGTTGATAAGAGTTTTGTGTTCATATGTAACCATCTGTCTTTGTTATTTTGAATTAGAACGTAGTGCGGACTGTCCTCCACCATATTTTCCGCCTACAGACGAGGGAAATGCACAGTACACGTGGGGATATCGCCCGGCATGTCATCAGAGTGTGACATCACTACTTCCAATAGGTTAACATTGCTCTTCGCCCACTTTACATTTAAACACGATATTCAGGCCATTAGGGCGATGCATTGTGGTATACTTATAAAAAACGGCTCATGTGGTTAAAGCAAATACGCAAAATGTATTATCTCGTTTGTTCAATTACATTCCTAACAATCTAAATAACGTAACAATGATTTGAAAAAACAACCAAACCATAATTTGAACTCAAAATCGATAAAACTAGGGTTAAACATAAACAAAGAAAATATTTATTTGCACGTTTTTTCCCTTTATATCAGATGGCCCTAGACCGCCACCCTATATAGACAATGATACACCTCCACCATTTATTTTACAGGGTAAGTTCCACATGTAAAATTACTAATATATAAACGGATTTTTGGTTCTTCAATTTGTTTTCATTTGAGATCATAAAGCATGTTTCTTTTATAAAAAATATGATTGATAATTGATATTCATTATTCGACGTGACTTGTATTCTTGATTAGTCTTATGATGTGTTTTGCATTATTTTAATCATGCTACTTACATGTATATTCAACATTTCCAGATAAATCTTGAATATCTCTTGGATAATTTCAAGATTTCTTTTTACAAAAACGTCCGGGAATTTTCCATCGACTAAGATATTTTCAAAGCGAAAGTAGCAGAAAAGTCTGTCGCTGCCATTAGCTGATGATCTAATGTTATACATTGTCTTTCCATCTAATGTGAATTTTCGTTCTCCGAATCCGTATAAGGACTTCATACATACCAATTTTTCTTAAAATAAAGTAAACAAGCAAATGGAATGCGGTTACTAAAAAAGCGATTTAGTCATACTGCAAATATAAATTGATAAATTTTTAATGTCAATAACATATTTTGAAAATAAATTATATAAATCACAAGAAATTGGATATGAACCGCAAATATCATGTGTTAGTTTTACAATAAAAAACATAATAGATGTTGTAAATCACTTAACAAGATATTAACATACATGGCAATCATCCGTATAAACCTTTACTAAATAAATGATAGCATGTGAAAAAAACATGAAGGTCAAGGATGAATATGTATGTATTACCCGATGTACATGGCATGCAATAGTGAAAACCTATATATTATAAATAACCAATACTTAAGATCAAGGATAGATGTATATATATTGCCCTTTGTTACTGTACGCAATAACTGCTAACCTTTTAAATTCACGATGACAGACACGGAGAATGGACATCCTACTAACAACGCCCCCACCAATGACACAAGCGTAACCATTCAACAACCCAATGGCACTGAGCTACCACCAGTAGTAAATATATCCGCCATTTCAAGCTAATCTTTAATAAAAAAAAAGCTTATTTCTTTGTTCTAATAGTGCAAACGGCAAACTTCGAATATAGAAAACAGCATTTTAAATTGTTTTTTACGATTCAGATTGCACTTAACTGAGAAAAAAGGAAAGATAGCAAAAATAAATTCCTGAGAAAATATTGGAATGATTCTAACATGTTTGCTATGTACCATGAGGACGTTGACTTGATGTTGCACCTTATGAACTTCAGACTTCTACACCTAATGATTATCTGGGCTGGTCCATATGTGGCTGTCTGTGTTGTGTGTGGTCAATAGGAATATGTGCCATTTTCTCTTCGTACGATGTAAGTAGTCATGCTTAAAAATATAATTCAAATGTATCGTAGCTTTCATGACTATAAATAGAATAAGTTTCAAAATAATTCGATAAAGAAAAATGTGAATTCTTGGTTAAGTAACTAATTAATTCGAAACTAATTCCATTTTAGATATTAGTGGTGAGTTTAGTTACGTAATATATATTGAACCATAACTCAGTTTTGAAAGTTCAACTTTAGAAATATTGTACGTGGTCTGTATCTTGTAAATAGAGTTCATCAGTGTGGAATGACAAATGTGTTTTATTTCAGTCTCGTAGGGCAGCGTACGAAGGAGATATGGTCAATGCCAAAACCAGCTCTCTATGTGCTTTGAGACTGAACGTTATCAACATGGTGCTCGGAGTTGTCCTAATGACGTACTGTCTACTCCGGTTCGGCCTAGGTGTTTGATACCAGAAGGGATATATAAGAACATGATACTATATGAGAGTAATTGTCACTGACACATTTAAAGATATGTGTAATGTCAGGCCGATATCTTTAACTGTATGTACATTCAATATAAGAATAGTAGTGTCATTAATACAGTGTGTGTTGTATACTATACCAAATGTATTATAAAGTGAAGTTTTTCTCACAAAATTGTTCTTAACATATCAATAAGAAAATGTGGGACATGTGTATCAATAATTAGACAGTATTCCATAACTTTCTGATGACCAGAGCACAAAGTATCGGTAAAACTGACATGTGACATGTAAAGGGGGGGGGGGGGGTTACTTAAAGTCACAAATAAATCTATTACCTGTAACTGAGCGAATTTAGATTATCGTAATTAAGGGCGAGGATTATGTAACATAATCCCTAAAGAGGCGTTAGCAAATGTTGGCATGTTACAGAGGAAGTCGATCTCGCTCAGTTACAGGTAATTGTTTCTTTTCTAGCAATTTATTTTGACAAACTGTTCAATTTCGCTGCAGTCTACAAGTATCCCACCTGGGGCCAGCCAATAATACGTATGGCCAATTCACTACTAATTATAAAGCTACGTTTGAATGCTTCTGCGTAAAATTGTCGTCCGTCTTTGAAAGAAAGACAGCGTATTTTACAGTGAAGAATATATTTTTCGACAACATCGGGAGTGTAACAGCACCAACATAAAACATATAACAACAAAACAGATTATTTATAATTCACATTGTCAATTTCAAGTCGTTATCGCGCGGAAAAATACATCGCTGTTAGGACAAGTCCCTTTATGAGGTGCGAAAAAGCACCTTCTGTTCTATGTATGTTACATCAATTATTAATCAATTTATTTAGATTTGAAACCTAAACAAAGCTTTGAGCTAACATTTACCTTCCTTAATTAGATATCTATTTCATTTAGTCTGAAAAAAACCTTTTTGAACTAATCAAAGTAAATCTCAAATTTATTGCATCGGACATCTCATTAACAATGCCGAGGATCAAAATGTTGATATTTTGAAATAGTGATTTTCGTCAATACTAAATAAAAGCTGTAGAAAACTGGTAAAACAGCATTAAACCGGACATCAGTTCTTATATGATACAGTGTAGAAAATAAACTGTTATCAATCAGAACCAAATGGAATGTTCATATGTTATACTGATAAATCGACAGTTAGGTTTATAATGTCCAATTAACAACAGATTAAGATATGTTTCTCTCAAATTATGATATACCTATATTTCAGCAACACGCACATATCAGCAGAATAATAGGATTACTAATAGACAATATCGAAATAGCAAGCGTCGCGTATAATGAGATAAAATGATAAGTATGAACAGTAATCATTCCTTGGTGAAATTGTTTATGCCTCAGTCTTCGCTGCTTTGATACGTCTAATGAACAAATGTTCTAAGCTGCGGACAAGGAATTTCAAAAGTTTCATCATAAAAAGACAAAGTTAATAAAAGTGCACAAAAATGACAAAAAGTGGCAAAAAAGGTAAAACGACATAGAAGGAGATTTGTGAACCGAAAAGAAAAGCCCAGAGAAGAACATTTTAATTACAGAAGGAAAAGCAATGATCCGAAATAACACAAACATGGAAAGAAACAGGTATATTCGAAATAACACCATAACAGAATATCATATCAAAATCCAAAATAACATACACGTCTAAAGAAATATAAACCAAAGTGATGTAAACACATGATAAATATGAGCTATCACAGATCATAGGAGAATAATTAATTGAAGATAATCCAGCACAGAGAAAAATATTAACTAAAGAAAAGCCAGCACAGAAGGAATACATACCAAAGAATAACAAAAAGTCAGGACAGAAGGAATTTTAAATTAATTAAATAAAAAGCAGTACAGGAGAATTATTATCACAAAAAAAAACAAGATTGAAGAAACATTTACTAAAGAGAAACCAAAATAGGAGAAATATTAACCAAAACGAAACCAGCACAGAAGGCATATATACTAAAGAGAAATCAACAAATGACAAATATTATCTAAAGAGAAGCCAGCACGGAAGAAATATAAAGTAATAGACACCAGCACAAAAACAATACTTAAAAGAAGCCAACACAGAAAGAATATAAACAGAAAGAAATATGAACTTTAGCCAGCACAGAAAAATATTCTAAACAGAAGGCAACAAAGGAAAAATATTTATCAAAGAAAAACCTACGCAGGAGAAATAATAACTAAATAGCATATCTTCTAAAATCAGCAATATAAGAAAAAATGTCAAATAACCATTATGTTAGCCTGTCGCATGTTTGAACCAATTACAAAATATCAGTTACGTTTGAGACGGCGTTACAGTATCTATTACAAGTTTTGTATGCATATTTGACCAGGAAGTGCGTCAAGGTTGGTTGGTTTCGTGTATAAGTAGCTGAACCACACACACAACAAATCTGCTTTCGGGTAAGTGATAATAATTTAGCTAATTAAGAGTTAGAATTCCTGTTTATAATAAGCATACATCATATATATTTTCAATTGGTATAGGTTACAGTAATTAAAAGCATTGTAATATTTCATCAGTGTATATATTATACGCATTTTGAATTCTGTTTCATTTACAATGAAACTTGTATGATCCTGTGAGATGCATCATACTGATCAGATTTAAAAGGAAGTTTTAATAAACGGGTCTCATTTTGTAGTTTACATAAAATGTTGATGAAAAAGGTGACAGAATAATGTATGGTTGAATAAGGCAGTTTTAGCTATACAATGAAACCCCATTTACTCGAACTTACATTACTTGAATACCCCCTGTTCCCCGAAGAGTTCGCCTGGTTCCGACCATATATATTAATAATATACAACATTTGATATAGCGCCCTATCAAGCTAACTTAAGTTACTCTAAAGCGCTTTACAGTACACAGATAAACAATTAATTCAATTAGCATTTTCATTAATAAATACATTTTTTTAGGAATTCGCAGGAGCTGTCTTATCAGGCGCTAACTACTAGTTCTATGCCACCTGGCTAAAATCTCTCTATGTGTGTATGCCTGCGTGTGTGCTGGATATTTGGTGTGTTCTGTTTGTAGTGGAACCGTGCGTCCAACAGCATCATTTATAGTACCACCTCACTTGAATCGTACAGTACAGATACCGCAACATCCACCCCAGACCATTGTATACTCCACCTGGGTTGTTGGAGTTGTGTGGGCAGAAGAAAAACCCTTTCTCTGAATATCCATGCCTACGACGACTTCGGGGATTGAACCCCGGCTACGTGAAAGGCCGGAGTGTTAACCACTCGACCAATCCGCCCAGTAATTATTCTTTGTAAATTATCCTGAGAATACTTGAACTACCATTGCTCGAATACCCGTGTTTCTCGAATTATGATTCATCCCCGACCTCTCAAATCCTTGGTATTTTACCTATCCATTCGTCGAATAGGTAGTCTCACGAGTGGTACACCTACTGCGTGCCATCAACTTGCCAACATGTATATCTTAGTGTGATATTTACTATTTTAGGTAAAGCCTTATGTGTTATGTCTTTTGTCTGCCTGTGAAATGGGAACACAGCTTTATGTGTTATGTTTATAGTCTGTGTGATAGTTTATGTGTTATGTCTAATCATGGCCATAACCTAATCATGTCTGTATGATTGGAACATAACTTCATTTGTTATATCTATAGTCTGTGAAATAGGAACACATCATTATGTGTTATGTTTATAGTCTGTGTGATTGGAACAACATGATTTTATGTGTTATGTAAATAGCCTGTGTGATGGGAACAACATGATTTTATGTGTTATGTACATAGCCTGTGTGATGGGAACATATTTTAATGTATTATGTCTACAGTCTGTGTGATGAGTAACATTACTTTATGTGATATGTCAATAGTTTGTGAGATTGGAACTTAACTTTATAAGTTATATATATATAGTTTGTATGATGGGAACGCAGCTTTGTGTATCGTTTTTATAGCATGTGTGGTGGGAACTTAACTTTGTAAGTTATATATACATATATTTTGTATAATGGGAACACAGCTTTATGTGTTATGTCTATATCATTTGTGATGGGAACATGCTTTAATGTTTTATGTCTACAGTCTGTGTGATGAGTTACATTACTTTATGTGTTATGTCAATAGTCTGTGAAATGGGAACACAGCTTAATGTGTTATGTCTACAGTCTGTGTAATGGGAACATATCTTTATGTGTTATGTATATAGTCTGTGTGATGGGAACACAGTTTAATTTGTTATGTCTATAGTCTGTGTGATGGGAACATATCTTTATATGTTATGTATATAGTCTGTTTAATGGGAACACAGCTTAATGTGTAATGTCTATAGTCTGTGTGATGGGAACATAACTTTATGTGTTATGTCTATAGTCTGCGTGATGGCTAACATAACTTCATATGTTATATGTCTACAATATGTATGATGGGTATCATAATTAATGTGTTATGGCTTTATGTGTTTTGTTTATAATATGTGTTATGGAAAACACAGCTGTATGTGTTATGTTTTAATCTGTGTGATGGGTAACATAACTTTATGTGTTAAGGCTATAGGCTGTGTGATAGGTAACATAACGTTATGTGTTGAGACTATAGTCTGTGTGATAGGTAACGTAACTTTAAGTGTTAAGGCTATAGTCTGTGTGATAGGTAACATAACTTTATGTGTTCAGGCTATATTCTGTGTGATAGGTAACATAACTTTATGTGTTAAGGCTATAGTCTGTGTGATGGGAAGCATGACTTTATGTGTTATGTCTTTAGTCAGTGTGATAGGCAACATAACTTTATGTGTTAAGGCTATAGTCTGTGTGATAGGTAACATAAGGCTATAGTCTGTGTGATAGGTAACATAACTTTATGTGTTACGGCTATAGTCTGTGTGATAGATAACATAACTTTATGTGTTAAGGATATAGTCTGTGTGATAGGTAACATACCTTTATGTGTTAAGGCTATAGTCTGTGTGATAGGTAACATAAGGCTATAGTCTGTGTGATATGTAACAATTTTATGTGTTAAGGTTATAGTCTGTGCGATAGGTAACATAACTTTATGTGTTAAGGCTATAGTCTGTGTGATAGGTAACATAAGTTTATAGTCTGTGTGATAGGTAACATAACTTTATGTGTTAAGGCTATAGTCTGTGTGATAGGTAACATAACTTTATGTGTTAAGGCTATAGTCTGTGTGATAGGTAACATAACTTTATGTGTTAAGGCTATAGTCTGTGTGATAGGTAACATAACTTTATGTGTTAAGGCTATAGTCTGTGTGATAGGTAACATAACTTTATGTGTTAAGGCTATAGTCTGTGTGATAGGTAACATAACTTTATGTGTTAAGGCTATAGTCTGTGTGATAGGTAACATAACTTTATGTGTTAAGGCTATAGTCTGTGTGATAGGTAACATAACTTTATGTGTTAAGGCTATAGTCTGTGTGATAGGTAACATAACTTTATGTGTTAAGGCTATAGTCTGTGTGATAGGTAACATAACTTTATGTGTTAAGGCTATAGTCTGTGTGATAGGTAACATAACTTTATGTGTTAAGGCTATAGTCTGTGTGATAGGTAACATAACTTTATGTGTTAAGGCTATAGTCTGTGTGATAGGTAACATAACTTTATGTGTTAAGGCTATAGTCTGTGTGATAGGTAACATAACTTTATGTGTTAAGGCTATAGTCTGTGTGATAGGTAACATAACTTTATGTGTTAAGGCTATAGTCTGTGTGATAGGTAACATAACTTTATGTGTTAAGGCTATAGTCTGTGTGATAGGTAACATAACTTTATGTGTTAAGGCTATAGTCTGTGTGATAGGTAACATAACTTTATGTGTTAAGGCTATAGTCTGTGTGATAGGTAACATAACTTTATGTGTTAAGGCTATAGTCTGTGTGATAGGTAACATAACTTTATGTGTTAAGGCTATAGTCTGTGTGATAGGTAACATAACTTTATGTGTTAAGGCTATAGTCTGTGTGATAGGTAACATAACTTTATGTGTTAAGGCTATAGTCTGTGTGATAGGTAACATAACTTTATGTGTTAAGGCTATAGTCTGTGTGATAGGTAACATAACTTTATGTGTTAAGGCTATAGTCTGTGTGATAGGTAACATAACTTTATGTGTTAAGGCTATAGTCTGTGTGATAGGTAACATAACTTTATGTGTTAAGGCTATAGTCTGTGTGATAGGTAACATAACTTTATGTGTTAAGGCTATAGTCTGTGTGATAGGTAACATAACTTTATGTGTTAAGGCTATAGTCTGTGTGATAGGTAACATAACTTTATGTGTTAAGGCTATAGTCTGTGTGATAGGTAACATAACTTTATGTGTTAAGGCTATAGTCTGTGTGATAGGTAACATAACTTTATGTGTTAAGGCTATAGTCTGTGTGATAGGTAACATAACTTTATGTGTTAAGGCTATAGTCTGTGTGATAGGTAACATAACTTTATGTGTTAAGGCTATAGTCTGTGTGATAGGTAACATAACTTTATGTGTTAAGGCTATAGTCTGTGTGATAGGTAACATAACTTTATGTGTTAAGGCTATAGTCTGTGTGATAGGTAACATAACTTTATGTGTTAAGGCTATAGTCTGTGTGATAGGTAACATAACTTTATGTGTTAAGGCTATAGTCTGTGTGATAGGTAACATAACTTTATGTGTTAAGGCTATAGTCTGTGTGATAGGTAACATAACTTTATGTGTTAAGGCTATAGTCTGTGTGATAGGTAACATAACTTTATGTGTTAAGGCTATAGTCTGTGTGATAGGTAACATAACTTTATGTGTTAAGGCTATAGTCTGTGTGATAGGTAACATAACTTTATGTGTTAAGGCTATAGTCTGTGTGATAGGTAACATAACTTTATGTGTTAAGGCTATAGTCTGTGTGATAGGTAACATAACTTTATGTGTTAAGGCTATAGTCTGTGTGATAGGTAACATAACTTTATGTGTTAAGGCTATAGTCTGTGTGATAGGTAACATAACTTTATGTGTTAAGGCTATAGTCTGTGTGATAGGTAACATAACTTTATGTGTTAAGGCTATAGTCTGTGTGATAGGTAACATAACTTTATGTGTTAAGGCTATAGTCTGTGTGATAGGTAACATAACTTTATGTGTTAAGGCTATAGTCTGTGTGATAGGTAACATAACTTTATGTGTTAAGGCTATAGTCTGTGTGATAGGTAACATAACTTTATGTGTTAAGGCTATAGTCTGTGTGATAGGTAACATAACTTTATGTGTTAAGGCTATAGTCTGTGTGATAGGTAACATAACTTTATGTGTTAAGGCTATAGTCTATGTGATAGGTAACATACCTTTATGTGTAAAGGAGTCTGTGTGATAGGTAACATAAGGCTATAGTCAATGTGATAGGTAACATACCTTTA